GATAACTCAGCAGAGATACTTTCCATGATGTTATTGGGCTCATTCGGGACTCGGGTTGAGTTGACTCATTTAATTATGTTGTATTCAAATTGTATTCCCACTGTGAACAAAAGGGGAAATTGGCCATTCTAAAGAAATTCTATTACAGATCAGACTGAGTAATCTAAAGCTATGGAATAAACCACTTTGCAACTTTAGAACAATTTGCTGTTTTTTAAATTATACAGTTATAATGTAATGTCACAAGCTTTATTACAGCTGTTTCACTATTTTTCTATGTCCCGGCTGTCAAATGCAGAACTGATCATAAAAAACAAAACTTTTGATGCAAAATTCCCCTGTTGATGAAATCTAAAACAAATTTTCTCATTTGCTATTTTAAGGTTTGTTTTGTTTTGATTTGGTTATGCAAGTAATGATCCGTGCATTGTGTCTACTGTCTGTGTTCATGTTTGTGTCTGTTGGCATAATATATTATAAACAGGGTTGCACATAAAATATTTGGTCTGGTTCTCAGGGGAGAACCTAGGGTTGTTGCTTGTTGCTCATATTTTCCTTCACTCATTTAACACATTTATCTAGAGGAGGGTCAGGGCATCTAACGTCCCCCTGTTCTGTTTTATGACTCCTATCAGCTGCAACATCTCAGGACATCATGCTAAATCAGTCCAACAAGTTTTTATTTTATTCTTTTACTCAGCATAAATTTTGTAAACTACCTAAGTGGCCGAGGGGCTGGGTGTATGTCATATAAACATCACAAACTGAACATTTCATGGTTAATTGTCTTTTAGACTACACATGTCCTTCAGATGGACAGCTCCTGTAGTTTGACCTTCTGCATCTTCAGCTTTGGTTAAACCAGCTTTCCACACTCTCCAGTCCAAGCAGCAAATATTTGTCTTTTGCACAGAGCAAAATAACTTCAAACATTCAAATGTTTTATTTGTTAGACTGATTTCTTTTTTAAAAGACTATTTTATTCAAAAAGATAATACTATTTAGATGGTTTCAGCTCATGTAATTATTTATTCTTCGTATTTGATCAGTTAATAAT